CCAGTCCATTTCAGCTCACTAATGCCTAAGATATCGATGTTTATGTGTTCCGTTTCATTTTTGACAACTTCCAATTTTCCTAGATTCATACTTCATACATTCCATGTTCTGATTTTCAGTGGATGTTTACAGCCGTTTCTCTATTTTGAGTTGTGCCCCATCAGCAAATGAAGGTCCCGCGGGCTTTTCTCCCACTGGTTTTACTCCATTCCCACCATCACGGTCAACTCTACTTTGAGGAGGCATCTCTTCCCCAGTCGCATTTTGAGTGCCTTCCAGCCTGAGGGGCTCATTTTCCGGCACTATATTTAACAGTGTTTCTCTGCTATTCGTAAGGTTTTCAGTGACTAAATATTCGGAAGTAGTTCATCACTCTTTCTTCCTAGTCTGTCTTCGTCTGGAAGCTCATCTGAAACCTGTCCACCATGGGTGACCCTGCTGGTATTCAAAATACCGGTGGCATAGCTTTGAGAGTCACAGCAACTCACACGCCACCACTGTATGACAAACTGACAGATGAGTGATGGGTATAGCGGTTTAGAGGCTGTAAATATTTGTGGGAGCAGACAGCCTCATTTTTCTCCCATGGAGTAGCTGGTTGGCCTGAACCACTGATCTTGTGGTTTAGTAGTTCCATGCTTATCCTGCAGTCCCTCCAGGGCTCCTTTAAGCCAGGTAGAATTTCTCCAATGAAATGATCCTTCCTCCTTAGAAGGAAAGGTGGGCATTCTTAGTTACTTGTCCAGTCCATTAATGCCCAACACCCCTGACCACCCCCCACAGGAAGTGTCATACCAGGTGGCTCTTCCTTTGATTGACAATCCTCCCCATAGTAAGAAATGGGTGTGTTTAGGGTTGTTTTTTTTTTTTTTTTAACCTTTTAACATGTAAGAAAATAAAAAGGATCCTTTGTTTTTCCCAGTCTTAGACTAGTTCAGGAAAGCCCTGTAAAACTTTATCCAAAATGTATGGCAAGAATAAAGTTAAATTAAGAAACCAGAGAAAGTGCCTTGCGAGAAATGCAAGTTGAGTTTGCTTTGGTCTTGGTAGTTGTCTCAGCTTGGAGTCCAGCGTCTGCTGAACAGTAACCCACGTGGGGCAGGCTTCCTAGCTGGAACAAAGAGCTTCTCCACTGAAATCCGTAAGGAGCCCAGCTCTACTCTAACAGACATGGGGGTGCCATGAGTCAGCATCAACTGAGTGGCACCTGGCTTTTTTTGTTGTTTCGTCAGAGTCAGAAAGTTTGAATGCATTTGGAACGTGACACTTCACTCTTCATTATTTTTTGGTAGCTATGGTTTTGAATAGTTTTTTGTTTTTTTTTATTTCTTTGAGAAATTTGAAGGGATGTAAAATAGTGATGTTTTATTTTTACTCTCCCTCCTGCTTTTGGTCACTTCCCTAACAGGTTTTATCTGCAGGCTCCGACTTTATTTTATTTTAAAATATTTTATTGTGAATTATGTGATAGTTTACATGGGAGAACATTAGTTTTACATCCATACTATCATATATTGTTTCATTGCCATGGTTACAATCCCCTCCTCTGACTTTATTTTAAAGGGACTTTTGGCCAATTCTTATTTAAAAGTTTATTTCTGAATTCCTTCTGGAACTGTGCTTTTACTGTGGTTGTTCAAGCTACAAGGAACCATGGTGGCACTGTGAGTTAAGTGGTAGGTTGCTAACTGTAAAGTTGGCAGTTCGAACCCATCAGCTGCTCTATGGGAGAAATTTGTGGCAATATGTTCCAGTAAGGACTTACAGTCTCGGAAACCCTATGATGCAGTTCTACTCTGTCCTATCAGGAGTAGAAGCGCAGTGGGTTAAGTATTGGGCTGCTAACTGCAAGGTCGGTGGTTCAAACCCTCCAGCTGCCCCTTAGGAGAAGGCTGAGGCTGTCTGCTCCTGTAAAGATGGACAGTTTTGTAAACCCTGTGGGGCAGTGTTTGCTACAGGCTAGAGATGATTTGGTGGCTGTGAGAATGAAGGCATGGGTGAGACTCGTGCTGTGTTCAGCTGCTAAATCAAAGGCTGGTGGTTCGAACCTACTAAGCAACTCCGTGGACAAAAGACTTGGTGATCTGCTCAGAAACACTGTGGAACAGGCCTGCTCTGTTGCATGGGGTCATTATGAGTGGGAATTGACTTGACGCCATCCAACAACAATCAAAATTGCCTTGTGCCTCTGAGCTGTTACAGTAAAACTGTATAAAGTGGAGATTACAGCTCTGACTGGAAGGCTTCCCAGAGACTGTTGGTCACAGTGATTCTTCAAACTTTTTGTTGAATAGGATTCAGTGATTTATGAGAGACTGTCGGATGAGTCTTTGTTTATGGATGAGACATTAAGTCATCTGGAGTGTTTTGCCACAGAAGGTAAGTGAAAAATCCCCTTCCCTAGGCTGACATCGTAGCCTGGGGTGCGTTGTTGGGGACACCAATGAGCACCAGGAAGTGACTTTGTAGGTGCGGCTTTGTGATACCACCCATTTGCTTCAAGATCAATGGCATGCCAAACTCTGCGTAGCCAAATGATTGTTTTCCCATTCTTCCTTTCTGACTTTGACAATATTTTGTGCTGGTAAGCAAACAGTAAAATGAATAAATAAATAGAAAATCCCCGAGTGGCCTTTCTCTTATTCTTATAGCAGAGTTTTCAGTCCAATCCATGTCTCTTTGCTACGTGTGACCTTTTAACTCCTTCTCCTAGGCACCTGGCTCTTGGTTGGTGGGAAAGGCAGGTTCTTCACATTATGTGGCGCTCTGGGTTAAGGCGCCAGACTGCAAAGCCATTTGAACTGCAAAGTCAGCAGTTCAAGCTCACTAGCTGCTCCTCGGAAACCCTATACAGGGTCGCTATGGGTTGGAATCAACTCGACAGCACTTAGCAATAACAACATGCTTAACCTAGCCGTTTTGTACTTATAACTGAGAAAAAAAATCAAGACATAGTTGATGTTTTTCCTGTCGTTCTCTTGTTATTTCTCTGATGCTGAGAAACAACCATCCATTGTTTATGAAAATATAATTCCATGAACGAGTGACAGGCAAGGAAAGCATTCACCGGACCATTTACTGGACTGTTGGTGATACCACCACACACAGTGTATTACCAACAGAGAAAGTAGCCCACTTTCTCCCTGCTCTTTACAAAAACGTGTGGATGTGGCCTGCAAGTGTGGGCACTTTCAGGGGTGAACTTGGAGTCCTTTCCATAGCAGTTTAAATCTATGCACATGCTATTGGCAAGCCGTGATAAGCAGAGACTGTAACAAGTGTGCTGTCATTGAGTCCTACACAAAGCAACAACTGCCGCCAAGGTACCATGAGAGACCAGCCTGGCAGTCTCCTGAGCAGTCGGCTCTTGGAAATCCTGTGGGATACGGCTACACACAGACAAACACGGACTCGCCATGAGTAGAACTTGATTTAAAGGCAGCAGGTTCATAGTTCTTCTGCAGAAATTAATTGCTACGGAGTCCTAAAGTATTTGAATGTTTTGGAGGAGTTTCGCCTAAAAATATCAGAATACAGCCTGTTTTTGTTGTTGTTAAGTGCAGTGAAGTTGGTTCCAACTCCTACTGACCTGGCATAGAGTTTCCAAGGAGCGGCTGGTGGGTTTGAACCGCCAACCTTGCGGTGAGCAGTCCAGTGCTGATCCTACAGCGCCACACTAAGACTCCGTAGTTGATCATGATTACTACTTTTGTAAACAAGGTCCTTCAAAATGGGACTAAAATTGATTTTCTGAACTTTGAGAGATTATTTGGCTAATTATTAAACTAGGCAAGTGACATTTTCTAAAGATAGTTAAAGATCGGCTGCAATAGTACATTGACAGGGGCCTGTACAGGGTCAAAGTGGATTCAGACAAGGCCGTGATGTCATTGCTGACGTCAGATGGATCTTGGTTGAAAGCAGAGTATACCAGAAAGATGCTTGCCTGTGCTTTATTGACTATGCCAAGGCATTCAGTTGTGTAGCTCCATATAAAGAGTGGTTGTTCCAGAGCATGGCAGAGCCTGGAGAAAGTCAAGAGGAGGGTCATGCCGCTATCCAGAAGGTATTCGGGGTAAACAATAGAGAAGGTTCCCAGAGGGTAGGAGTTCGAGGACCCTTGAGGACCAGAGGGGAGGTAGCTAGGGGTAGATCAAAGCGGTCCGGAAGGACTTCACACCGTCACAGCTTCTTAGATGCCTTTGGGCTTGACTTCTAAATGCTGCTTCTGTCCTTGGCGGCTGGCTGGTTGGGTAACCGGGAGACTTCATTCTTTCTTGCAGGCCTGAGAACTCTCTGTGTGGCTTATACAGACTTAACTGAGAAGGACTACAAGGAATGGTTGCAGAAGTATAAAAGAGCCAGTGCAGTGTTAGAAGACAGAAGTAAAATCATAGAGCAATGCTATGATACGATTGAAAAGGTAATAAATACACCCCATATGGGAAGGAAATCCACTCAGACACATGTTCCTATCTTGATGCCGTTTTAAAATGCAGTTGAAATTGTTTTTTCTGCAAAAGTGTTCATGTACCTTATCATAATGAAAATTCGTGAAATATGCCCTAGTAAAAGATTTTGAAGTGTTTCTTCCTCTTCTCATCATATCCTAATTACTTCAATCTTATAATCCTGTTTATAATAACTTTTCCCATATCAGAAGAAGAACATGTTTGTTATTAACAAAACAAGGAAGAATAAGAAATTGTTGGTGGTGCTGTTAGGAGCCTTGGAATCATTTTGTCTTATAGTGACCCTCTGCACTACAGAATGAAACAGTGTCCAGTCCTGGGCCGTCCTCACAATTGTTACGATTAAGCCCACTGCTGTTGCCATTGGGTCAGTCCATCTCGTTGGAGGTCTTCCTCTTTTCCAGTGACCCTCCACTTTTTCAATCATGATGTCCTTTTCCAGGGCCTGGGCCCTCCTAACAACATGTCTCGCCATCCTGGCTTCTAAGAAGCACTCTGGCTGTCCTTCTTCCAAGACAAATTTGTTTATTCTTCTGGCAGTCCATGGTTGTATCAGTATTCGTCTACAACAGCATATTTCTACAGTCTTCCTTATTCATTATCTGACTTCCGCATGCATATAGTGTTGTGGTTAAATGTGTTCAAGTTGGTTCTGATTCATATGGACCCTACATAGGGTTCCTGAGAAGTGGCTGGTGGGTTTGAACTACTAAACCCTTGAGGTTAGCAGCCTGGTGCCTATCATACAGTGCCGCACCAGGACACAATTGAAAATACTGTGTCTTGGAGGCACACCTTAGTCTGCAACCTGACATCTTTGCTCTTGAACACTTTAAAGACGTCTTTTCCTGCAGATCTGCCTACTGCAATATTTTAAGACTTTTTCACTTCCAGCAAGCAAGGCTGTATCATCTGCATCTCACAGGTTGTTAATGAGTCTTCCTCCAATCCTGATGCCACGTTCTTCTTCGTAGAATCCAGTTTCGCAGATGATTTCTTCAGCATACGGTTGAATAAGTATTTTGCCCATAGAATCCTTCAGTATTGCAGCCTGAAGATTGAGCTTGTTCTGGTCTTTCAGCAGGAGAAATGCTGAGCACGTTTTTCCCTTTTGGTTTTCTAATGCCAAGTCTTTGCACATTACATTATAAAACTTTGTCTTTTCAAGTTGACCTTTGAAATTTTCTGTTCACCTCTTTAACTTCATTTCTTTTAGTTGCTTCGCTTCTCTACATTCAAGGGCAAGTTTCAGACATTGTGAAATTCATTTTGGTCTTTTTTTTCTCTTTTAAATGCCCTTTTGCTTTCTTGTGATGTCATCCCACAACTCTCGTGGTCTGTGGTCATTAGTATCTAGTGCATCAAATCTGTTCTTGAGATGGTCTCTAAATTCAGGTGGCATATACTCAAGGTCATATTTGGGTTCTCCTGGACTTGCTTTAATGTTCTTCAGATTCAGCCTGAAGTAATTGACGATCTGTACTACAGTTGGCTGTCTGGTTTAGGCTGATGCCATGAACTTCTCCACCGTGTCTTACCACAGATGTAGTCATAGTCCATCTAGTGAGGTTTCATGTGTGTACTTGCTGCTTATGTTGTTTAAAAAAGGTAGTTGCAATGAGTAGGTCATTTGTCTTGGAAAAGTCTACCATGTGATTTGTGGCATTGTTTCTATCACCAAAACCATATTTTCCAATTATTGGTCTTTCCTCTTTGTTTCCAGCCTTCACATTCTATTCAGTTATTATCAATACATCCTGATTGTGTGCTTGATGTATTTCAACCTGAAGAAGTTAGTAGGATTCTTCAATTTCACCATCACTGGAGATGTCATCTCACCAGCTTGGCTTCTAAGGAGTGCTCTGGCTGTACTTCTTCCAACACAGATTGGTTTGTTCTTCTGGCAGTCTATGGTACTTTTAATATTCTCCTCCAACATCATAACTCAACTCCATCAATTCTACAATCTTCCTTATTCACTGTCCAACTTTCACCTGTATATGAAGCTATTGAAAATATCATGCCTTGGATCAGACACACCTTAGTCCTTAAACTGACATCTTTGCTCTTGAACACTGTACTTAAGTGTTCAAGAAATATTTAAGAATATTGACCGCTACAAGAACAAACTAATCTGTGTTGGAAGAAGTACAGCCAGAGCACTCCTTAGAAGCCAAGCTGGTGAGATGACATCTGTCATACTTTGCTCATGTTATCAGGAGAGACCTTGGTAAAGTAGGATTACCGAAAAAGAGGAAGACCCCTGGCGAGATGGATTGGCACAGAGGCAGCCACAGTGGTCTCAAGCATAACAATTGTGAGGATGGCGCGGGACCTGGGCAGTGTTTTGTTCTATTTTGTTTGGGGTTGTTAAGGGCCAGAAATGACTCAATGGCACCTCAACACCATTACCTACTGGTATAAGTCCTTATAGAAACTCTACTCAGATCCTTTGCTCCTTTAAAAATTAGTTACATGTCTTTATGTTACTGACTAGTGAGAGCTATTTATACGTTTTGAATATAAGTTCTTTATCAGATATGAATCGCAAATATTTTTTTCCTTATTCCATTGGTGTCTTTTCTTGAAAGTGTATTTCGAAGCAAACACGTTTCTAATACTGATGAAGTTCATGACCTCTGTGAATGGTGCTGGTGGTTTGCTGTGGAGTTGACTCCGACTATTCCAACCCTGTATACTGCAGGGATGGGGAACTTCTGGTCCTCTGGCCCTTTAAGTCTGTGAAATCATGTGGTCTGGCCCTGCCAAGGCAACCACAGGTGGAACTCGAGACTCAAGAAATCTAGGAGCTTTTTCATAGCAGCATAAATTACTATTAAGTGATGTTATACATATCCAAATGGCCCTTGACAGAAGAAAGGTCCCCCGCACCCCGTTGCAGGGTAGAGGGTTTCTGAGTCTGTAAATCCGAAAGCCTCATCTTTCTTGCTCAGAGACTGGTAGCTCGAACTGCTAACCTTGCGATAAGCTGCCCAGTTCATAGTCCACTAGATTCCAGGATGCCTTCATCTTTGAACAGAGATAGTTTTACTTCTTTCTTCTAATTTTAGTTAGAATCTGGCTGCCATTTCTTTTTCTATGTCTCTTCCTGTTCTTTCTCTGTAATTTCTCTGGCAAGACCTTCAAGTGTTAGTGTTTGGAAGTGCCGAGAACAGACATGTGTTGTTCCTGCTCTTAGGGGTAAACCGCCCAAATGATTAAAGTGGTTGTTAATATTTACTAAATATTTATAATCTGTACACATTATTCTTAACATGTCACTGTGCTTCATAATAATCATATGAGTAATTTTACTCCCTTCATTTTCCTGTCAAGTGACGTCAAATTGGGTCCGACTCACAGCTTACAGCGACCCTGGATAGCGTTTCTGAGGAGCAGCTGGTGAGCTTGAACCACCGACCTTGCAGTTCAAACCAACTTTGCAGTCCAGTGCATTAACTCACAGCGCCGTATCTGTACACACTGTTCTAATATTTCACTGTGTCTCATAATAATTGTGTGAGTAATCTTATTTCCCCCAGTTAAGGGATGAGACTATTGAATTATTTGAAGTGATTTATCTTTGCTATAATAAGTTGTAAAGTTAGGGCATTCTCCTCAGAGCTGATGCTCCTGACCCTAGTTTTATACTGCTTCAGGTTGCTAATCTCACAGTCAGCAGTCAGAAACTACCAGCTGTTCCGCGGGAGAAAGATGAGGCGTTCTGCTCCCGTAAAGATTTACAGCCTCGGAAACCCTGTACAGGGTCGCTATGGGTCAGAACCAACTCCACGGCACACAACCACAAACAACAACTCATGATGTAGTGAAAAGGGAAAAGAATAGAAAATAAAATGTGTGTATGTGTGCGCAGGAATCCTGGTGTGGCCGGCCCTGTGGGTTAATGCGCTGTACTGCTAAGTCATTTCACAAGGTCGGTGGTTCAAGTTCACCAGCTCCTCGGAAACCCTACACAGGCTCGCCATGGGTCGGAAATGACTCGACGGCACTCAACAACAACAAATATGTGTATGGGATTTTGCAGAAAAAATTATTTGACTGCTTATCTTTTTATCTTTTGTCAGCATTTGCTTTTAGTATTCGCCTTTGAAACCATTCCTAATTTGATTAGTAATGAAATGTATCTCTTTCAAACACCTAGGAATTTCTGCTGCTTGGGGCCACCGCTATTGAGGACCGTCTTCAAGCACGGGTTCCAGAGACCATAGAGACGTTACTGAAAGCAAACATAAGGATCTGGGTCTTGACAGGAGATAAACAAGAAACTGTAATTAACACAGGTGACAGAATTTTACAAATCTGGCTGCACGTGCATACTGACTACAGCTTAGTGTCAAGAAGGTGTAGCTGAGAAAGTGTTTTATTTGTCTTTAGGAAAATGGAGTCCAAAGGAACCTTCCCTTCATGAGGCAAAGCGTTTGAGCGGACAAGCTCAAGAAAGTGCCTTGTTTCTTTTACATCCTCGAAACACAGAATGCAGACTCACAGCCTGAGTAATATATATCACTGTGTTCCTCTTTCAAAACATGTAGCATTGTGCCCAATGCATATATTTGAGGATAAGTCAGCAGATGTTCCTACAAAATCATAGGCACCTTTATGAAACAAAAAGATCAAACGGTGCAACTATTGTTTTTCAAAATATCCTCCATCCAGATCTACACGTGTCTGAAGGTGGTGTTTCCATCTCCCTAACACTCGGGTCCTGGTGTGGCGCTGTGGGTTAATGAGCTGAACCGCAAAGTCGGTTCAAGTTCACAAGTCACCCTGGGAAGCCCTACACAGGCTCGCTATGGGTCAGGATTGTTATGGGTGGGAACCGACTCCACGGCACTTACCAACAACAGTTATAATGGGTCTAAAGTGTGGAGCGTTACGGTTTGAATTATGTCTCCTGCAAAACATGTGTATTCACGTCCTGACCGCTGTGGTTTAACGTGCTGTACTGCAAAGTAGATTTGAACTCACCAGCCGCTCCTCTCAGAAACTCTATACAGGGTCGCTATGGATCAGAACCAACTTGATGGCATTTAACAACAACAACAACTATGCCTGTGGTTATAATCCCATGTGGGAATGGGTTGTCTTTGAGGCAGGATTAGTGTGGAGTGTGTTTTGAGTCAATCCTACAAGATAATAAAAGGAAGGGAGACAAGTTAATTGAGTAGACCCTCTAAAACAAAGATGGAGAAACCATGAGAAATGGGTGTGGATGCCAATCCTGGAACCAAGATACTCAGACAAAAGGAAAAACAAAGTTGTCAAATGCCAATTAGAGGAAGAGACTGAGCACACTTAGCAATGAGGCGTGTCGAGGGAGCATTGGCCTGGCACAATATGGTCATTTTAAATGATTACAAGCAGTGCTCCAATGCGGCAGGAACGACATGACTGGTCACCTACATCTGCACTGGCACCACATCAGGGACTGTGACCAGAGGCGTGGTCTCCCCTCTTACCCAGTGACCACAGGCACGACCCCACCCTCCCCAGCCACATGGCCGCTGGTCAGCACCCTCCGACGGCCAGTGAGGGCCGCTGACTTTCGTTTTTCTCTTATTACTTGTTAGTTCTTCTTGTCCCCATTTTTCTATTTCCTTCTCAGTTCCTCCAGGTTTGGCAGCAGCCGCCCTGGCCCTGCCCAGGTAGAGGTGGGTGCTCCCATGGTGTGTGAGCATCATGTCCCGCTGTATGTAGCTGGTGCTGGGCCCAGCACTGGGCAGCTTTGCTTCTTTCCTCTGACCCCATGTTTCTTTCTTTTCTTCCTTTTATACACCCCTTATTTTGATTCAAGAAATAGGCACCCCACCTCCACTCCCTCCACCCCTCCACTGTCAGAAATGCTCACCCCCAAACCCTCATTTGGTGGTGCATACTCCAGCAAAGCGAGCTCTTTGTTTTCCCGCAGCTGTGTTTGGCGCCAAATGCTGTACCAGTACTATACTGAGTTTTTCCTCTTTTTTTTCTGCTTTCTTTTTCCCTCTCTTCCCTTGTCTTTTTCCCATCCCCTGCTGCCTTTCCCCATCAGTTAGGAGCCAGTGAACCTATCCAGCCAAACCATGTAATCCATGCCACCCACTCCTGCGCTGTGGGATCAATGAGAGTGTCCACCACCTGCCTCACCTGCCTTCAGCTTCTCTGTGACCAGCAATCAAAGACTCACACACACACACACACACACACACACACACACCTTCTATGAAATTAACCAAGAGGAGCTGGTGAGTTTGAACTGTCGACCTTGTGGTTCAAACCAACCTTGTGGTCCAGTACTTATCCTACACCCCAGGACTCAATGAAGTATTTTAGGCTTTCCTTAAATTCAGCCAGGCGTGATTACAACAAATACGGGGGAGAGAGGAAGAATTCCTAGTCGGGGTACAACCAAGACCCGTGGGAGGAGGCTGACTGGCTGTCCTCCAAGCTCATGTCTTCATTGTCTATACAAACATGATGGGGCTTCAAAACATTGCTGGAAAAAATTTCCATTATCTTTCCAGTTCCATTTTCCCATGAACTTTATGAAGGTCCCTTGGATTAACATTACAGTCTAACATAGGGACAGGAAATTTGCTGGCAAATTGTTGAAAAATGAATCCTATCAGGACATTATTAGAATTCACTGGAAAGCTTAGAATCTTTGCTTTTGAAAAACTGCTCCAACACTGTAAAGCAGGTATCCATGGCTTAGAAACAGAAACTGGATGAAAAGATCATTACATTGATGGAAAAGGAGCCTTGCTGGTGCTTAGGATAAGACTCTACTGCTAACCACAAGGTCAGTGGTTCAAACCCGCAGGTGCTCTGCGGGAGAAAGATGAGGCTTTCTGCTTCTGTAAAGATACAGGATCACTTTGCGCCAGAATCGCTGGTGATGGGTTTATTTTCCGTTTACATTGATGAAAAGATCGCCACTGTTTTCATAGGAAGCTTCAGATGAACTAATAATTAAGACAATTTTATTTTTCCCTGTAACTAAAGACACTGTGACAGGACTCATAAGCAGGGCTTTGGAATTACGTAGAAGTCATGACACCATTTTCAGTTTCTTGCAAATTATGGGACAGTTCAAGGACTCGGTACGATTGTGTGGTATATGTTTACATTTCAAACCAAATTCCACCTTACACAAAATGGATTTGTATGAAGGATGAAATATGTTTAGAAATATTGTTCCATGGGAATCACCAGTTATAGATGTTCTAAGATTTATGTTCGAAGAAATCTGTCAAAAAACTCTCAATGTTGTCACAGTCCGCTGTGGCGTTGATTCCGACGCATAGTGATCCTATTGGTTAATTACGACTCATAGTGACCCTATTGAACTGCCCGCCCCCCCCACCAGGGTTTCCAAAGTTCAAACTGAACGGAAGCAAATTGCTTTGTGTTTTTCCTGTAGACTAGCTGTGGGTTCAAACTGCTGATCTTCAGTTAGCAGTCAAGATCACTGTGCCACCAGGGAGGTACCCTTGCCGCTGTCATCGTTGGGTGCTATTGAGTCAGTTCCAACTGTGTAGGGTTCCCAGGCTGTAAATCTTGGTGAGAGCAGAAAGTCTCATCTTTCTCCTGCGGAATTGCTGGTGGGCTTGAACCTTGTGGTTTATAGTCCAGTACTGGTTCTACAGAATGATGGCATTCCCGGCTGTCCTCTTAGTGTTGTTGTCGTAAGGTGTTGTCGATTCGGTTCTAATTCATAGTGCCCCTGTGACTGGTGGGCTTGAACCACCGACCTTGTGGTTAGCAGTCCAGTGCTTAGTCTACAGTGCCACACCAGGACTCTTAGCAGTTCCAGTAACAGTTTATATCAGCAGAAAGATCCTTCTAAAATAAAAAAAATTACCAAATTTTGCAGCCTTGCATTTGCAAAGAGTTGCTTTCAAATGTATTCCTTGAAAATGAAGTTGCTAAAAGTATAAAATTTTATGATTTCATAAATAAATTTTCAGGAAAATCTTATGTTTCAATCATGATATCATATTAATAAAGGGTTTTTGTTGCATTTTAAAAAATCGTGATACCAAAATCATTTTATTTCCTTTTTTTTCAAGTTGTAAGTTTATGGAGTTCTGGTGTGGTACTGTAAGATATGGACTGGACTGCTAACCACAAGGTTGGTGGTTCAAACCCACCAACCGCTCCTTGGAAACCCTATACACGGTCTCTGTGAGTGGCAATTGATGCAACAGCACTTAGCTACCAACAACAATACATTTCTATTGTTATTCACGTATTATTTATGAAATTTTGTATTGGAACCCACTAGGGCTAATCCTGTTTTTATTTTTCCTCCTAAATACCCAGTTTCCTAAGTAAGTAATGATTTTCTAACAAAAACATTGTAGTTTAGTGTCTTCAGAGGCACCTTTTCCCTCCTTTTGAAGAGGGAACCCCACATTTTCATGTTCCGCTCACTCACTGCCACTGAGTCGTGACCCTGTAGAGGGTGTCTGTCCAAGGCTGTAAGTCTTTACAAGAGCAGGAAGCCTCCTCATTTACCCATGGAGAAGCTAGTGCATTTGAACCGCTGTCCTTGTAGTTAGCAGTTCCGTGCTTATCCTATAAATTCTGTACTTGACCCTGGCTTTCAATATGTTGAGGTATCTACTGATTTTCAAATGCAGCTGTCAATAGACTCTTGTGTATACAAGGAGGTTTCAAGTAATTCATGGGAAAATGGAATTAAAAGATAATGGAAAATACCGATGAACTTTTGAAATCCCATTGTATGATATAGACCAAGACTTGCATGGAGAGGGTGGGGATGAAGGAATTAAAATTGCTAGTCATTGTCATATCCCAAAGCCAGTTGCCTTTGAGTGCACTATGATCATGCAGTCCCATGTTTGTCTGAGCAGAGCTGGACCCATATGAGTTTCAATAGCTGACTCTGATGTAGATTACCAGGCATTTCTTGTGAAGTACCTCTAGGTGTACTTGAACACCCAACATTGTCTTTAGCAGCCAAGTGCATAAATAGTTTGCACTACCCAGGAGCTCCCATCAGCAGGTAGATGGTACTTAAGAGGTATTCAGGGGAAAGGAAGAAAAATTTCTATTTAAAAAAAAAAAAATGCTTTAATAGTTAAGTAGGGTTGGGATCCTGGGCTTGAGTGGAGGGTAGGTGTTGGTCTTAGACAAGTATACCATGGACTGTCCAGAGAAAAGCACAGCTGATCTGTAGCCACAGGAGACATGATAGAATATATGGGCACAGGAACAGGCAGACCTTTTAGAAGGTCCTCTCCTGATTGTTTCTTCTTTATCAAGGAAATAGGAAGCAAGATGTCACACTAACAGAGAGAAGGAAGGAAGAATGTATTGAATATTCTTGTAGAAAGGAGAAAGTATGAGCTCGTACTTTAGGAAGGAGAGAGTATGAGTCATAGTCTGGGATGGAGAGAGTATGAGCTGGTGTCTGGGATGGAGAGAGTATGAG